AGTAGTCCAATTTATGGATTCAATATCTATTTTAGTCAACGAAAACAAAATTAGGCACTTATTAGACGATACTTTTCTATCATATTCACTTAGAGATCTGTTAATAAATGGTTTGCTAAACAGTTTTACACTTTATTGATTCTGTCTACAATCAATTGGAATATAATAAGTTCATATTTTGTAGACTGTATTCATGTTTTCTCAAATCCGCTGTTTTAATAAGCAGGATGGCTAAACACCATTGAAAATGTAGATTATTATTATTATTTTAACATATAGATATTGGTACAAGGAGGCACCAAATACATATGCGCCACATAAATCTTATTTAATTTGTGTGGGGGCTGTGATACTGTCCGGGTGCTGAAACTGAAGCAGGTGGTTTTTTAAGGGGCCACATCCCGAGCCTTTGATCTAAAGGTCTGATCCACAAGGCAGTGGAGCATCGTAAGGAGATGCAGTTCCATGGTGGCCGGTGACCAACGATTGGTTCATACGCCACTTTTCCCCCTCAGGATACTGAAGCCCATGTGCACCATTGGTTTGGAATCAGGGTTTTCCAACTCCCCTAAGTGGACTCACCGTGTCCACCAACCCGACTAAAGTACCGGACATTCGCTTTTCGTCCTCTCAGTTTCGTAAACAACACCCCCGCCAAGAGAAGGCAGTGAGTAGAACTTTGCTGGCAGAGGCTATATACGCGTGGCCATGTGAGAGCATTTCGAGAGGGTGAGCGGACTCTCCCCACTCTCGGCCGTACCAGGGCATTTGAGGGCTGAAAATGTACAAGCACTAAACGAATATTTCGTCTTAGTATGAGACTCTTTAGTAGTGCGAATCCACGATTCCACCTCTTGAGATTTGAACCCAGCACCTATTACTCTCTCTGACCAACGTTTAAACTCTACACCACTGAGCCGGCATCCAACTGTGTTAATGTAGAACTTCAACTAATTCACGAAATTAAACCATCGTCCACCATTGTCTTCATCGAATCACTATCTCATAATACATCTGGTTGAACTCCACTGGTCACTACTTCTCACTATAATTTCAGTAAATCTATTTTGAAGTCAGTTACTCAGTTGTAATCCTGCGATTGAGATCATGGATACGTACTACTGAACCGTCTCATTATTAAGACGAAATAGTCTTCAACTACTTCCAGATTTTCCAAAGTAATCTAACTTAACATCAACACATAAATTCAACCATTCAATTACTACAATCTCCATAAAACCCCTATCTATTAGAAAGAAAAAAACCTACAATTTAGAGTAGACTTATTCACATAATAATTTTTTTCTCTTTATAATTTATTATCTACATTAAAACTGGTAAACAAGAAATGAGAGAAAAATTGTTTTTTTTTTTTTAAAAAAAAGAACAATTCCAGAAATTCATATTCCTGATTGATTTCACAGGGATAAATTTGATTTGACTTACGTTTTATTGGATGGATACGAGTTTCCCATACATACACACATGCAAACAAGCAAACGTACACTCACACTTACCCCCCCAAACACACACACACACACGAATAACAACAACATATTTGTTTATTTTTATAAAATATATAAAATTTTTTTCTTTTTTTCTTTTCATTTCACATAGCGTGACCAATATGAATTAGATTAGATGAAAGAAATCTAATAAAATATATAAAAATCAAATATAAAGAAAAAATGTAGATGTAAAATTAAACTGGATGTATATTGAAGTAAAGATAGATAGTAGTTAGTAGTGGAATCTAGGATGCGTGTTTCGTCCTAAGAAACCTTGTGACTTAAAGCTAATGCCCGTCGCCTGCCGGAACCCGGGATCGAACCGGGGACATTTAGATCTTCAGTCTAACGCTCTTCCAACTGAGCTATTCCACCAGGGTGTTTGGTACCTGTGTGGTTGCTCCACAGGATTGAACTGCACTATTCAGATTGTAGCGTTAAAGCCTATACGGTGTCTGGTTATCCTGTTAAACGGGCTTGGGCTGTACTGTTTGGGTTGTCACATGAAAGTCTGGACGGTGTCTGGTTCTCCTGAAAACCGATGTAAAATTACCCTGGCCCACAAGGGTATATTATATAATTTAAGGCTAATATTGAGGCAATCCACACAGGATGCATATATGCTAATCAGAGAGTGATCAATTATAGTGTGAAATAACAATGGGAAGATATAAGTAAAACAACACCAAGTGAATTTAAACTTCACATCATTGCACAAGCAGGTGGCTATCAAAACTTAGTAGCTAAGTGAATAATGTGATAACGTTTGAAGCGAACGGTACTGGGTTCGAGTCCTAGAGTGGACATCAACTCTGAGATGCAGGTATAATCAGTTGACGAGTCCCAAATAGATCGAAACATCAAGAGTCCTGTATTCTACTGCAAACCATTATCCATCTTTGTTTAAAAAGTTTGTGTCTTAAGGCTATAATATCGAGGCAATCCGCACAGGATGTACATATACCAATAAGAGAGACTTATCAATTATAGCCCTAAATAACGATGGAAAAACATAAGTAAAAACAACACCAAGTGAATTTGAATGGATATTGGTTTCAAATTGATTAAAATGATAAAATGGAATATTTAGAGAGAAAAAAAGATAAACAAAAAAAGCAACGAATAAGAAAAAGGAAAAGAAAAAAGAAAAGAAAAAAAGAAAATGATTTTAGATTCATTTTGGAAAATAACGAATATGTCTTCTCTTTCTTTGATTTTTGTGTGTGCGTGTGTGTGCTTGTTAAATATAATAGAAATAAAAATTAATTGATTAATTAATTAAATGCCAAAATGGTAGGCATATATATGTATATTACTTACTTATCCCTGTTAATCTTCCTTGAGAAGAATAGACAACCTACAAACATTTGTCATCCAACATTTTCATTGAAAATTCTTTATACTTGTTTCTAGTTGTTATATATTCATATCATATTTGTTTCTATTTCCCGACGTAATATGTTCTTTGACCTTACACTTTCACGTTTCCCTTCAGGATTCCAAGTTAGACCTTGTTTCGTGATTCAGTTTGGTGATTTCTGTAATGTATATCCTATTCATTTTTATCGTCATTTCCTAATTTTCTCTTCAGCTAGAAACCAGTTTGTCAGCTTCTACAGTAGGCTGTTGCTGATGGTATTCGGCCAATGAATGTTGAGTATCTTATGTAGACAACTATTTATAAATAATTGTACGTTCTTGATGATGATTATAGTTGTTCTTTACGTTTTAGCTTCATACAGTAGGACTGTCTTGACGTTCATATTGAAGATTCTGACTTCGTTATTAATTGACAATTGTTTTGAGTTCCATATGTTCTTCAACTGTAGGAATACCGCTTACAATTTGCCAATTCTCACCTATACGTTTTCATTCGCTCCTCTTTGTTCATCGATAATGCTTCCTAAGTACATGAAAGATTCCAACTTTTCTTAAGTTTTGTTGTCAAGTGTGATTGATTTGGTGTTCTCCCTGTTGTACTTGAAGATCTTGTTTTTTCTTTTGTGTATGTTCAGGCCTACTGATGCAGAGGCTGCTGCTACACTAGTTGTATATATATTACTTAATTGTATCGTATTGTTCATTCAATGATTTTTTAGAGTTAATATTACAGGGTAAGGTTGTGAAATTCACGTTTAACCGTCTGTTTTTTTTTTTTTTTACCAGAGCTGGGAACCGGTAATGGTTCTAGAGAGGTTCCAAGTAAAGATAGTACATTATTAGCCATATAGCTTTATTCATTATTATATAATTGGTCAAATATATAATTCCTAGCACAAAGTATTTCAACAAGCTTCCGTTTCTTATTTCTTGATCAATTCTAACGATAAATATTGAGTGATCGTCCGTTATATATATTAACAGTTCAGGAATCATCATTTGAATAATGTTCATTCTCTTCAATGCATATTGCTTAACAGTTACTATGATATCTTTGATGATACTGTTTTGTAACTTGTACAGCGAAAGGTCGTAAATTTTTTAGAAATGCCCTTGAATAAGTTATGCTATTAATAGACATAATGATATGTCAAAGCAAACAAACAAAGAAATAGATAACTTGTTGAAATATCTAGATGACGGGAGTAGGTAGCCCAGATATTTAATCAGGTCATCAAATACATATATAGTTGCACTTATATTACTGAAATATTAAAAAAAAAGGGACTATTAGTGTGTTATTAATAATAAAACCGATAGAAAATTAGAAGATAGATTACTTACCTACTTACTTACTTAAGCCTGTTATCCATCGTAGAGGAGAATAGACTGTTCATCATCATTCTCCATCTAACTCTGTCCTGGAAAATCCTTTCCAGTTGCTATTCATCTTTTTCATGTCTACTTCCAATTTACGACGAAATGTATTCCTCATTCTTCCTAGTTTCCATTTTTTTTTTCTTCAGAATTCTCAGTTTGGGGTTGCCTTGTGATTTAGTTTAATGATTCCCTTAATGTATGTCTTATTCACTTGCATAGTTTTATCCTAATTTTCTCTTTATCTAAAAACTGGCTTATTCTTTGCCACAATAGGTTGTTGCTGATAGTATTTGACCAACAGATATGTATTGTCTGGTGTATATAACTGTTGATAGATACCTCTATTTTTTCTGACAATGATTATTGCATTTCTCCAAGTTTCAGATCTGTACAATAGAACTGTCTTGATGTTTGTATTGAAGATTTTGACTTCAATATTGGTTGATAGTTGTTTTGAGTTCCATATGTTCTGTCCTTGTTTTACCTTTACTTCTGTATTAGATCCTTCTTGTTCATCGATGATTACTTCCCAGTTACAGGAAAGTTTCTACCTTTTTCAATGGAATGAATATAATCTCACTTCAAGTTGTCATATCAATCAGAACTTGGATATTATATAAATCTTTGTTTGCTACTTTATACAAATGACACTATTCATATTCTTCAGATATGATTAAATTCTATGATTAACCATTACATCTTTTTTTTTTTGTAATTTTGTTTCTATTCTAGTTATCCAATTCAAATACTACTAAAAAGAATACAACTATTAAAAAATCATTTATATTAAGATTACTTACACGGCAACTAAATAAAAATATAACTATGAATACAGATCATGCAAATGTAAATACAACATCATCAACATCAGTGTTACCAATCAGTTGTAATTTATCGATTAACAGTTCAAATCCATTGATAATATCATCAATATCATCATCATTATCATCGTCATCATCATCGTCCACAGCACAAATAATGAATCAATCAAGATTAAACTATTCTATAGATTTAATGAATTCTCGTTTATATAATCCAAATATTCATCATTCTATCAATTATGGACCTTATAGTCCAATATGTGTAAATACTACTACTAATAACATATCAGTAATATCAGGTAAGAGTTTTTTTCCATCTTTTTTTCTTGAAACTATTGAATTCATGTTCTAAACATCATTTGAAGTGTGATGAATTTCTGTGATAGCCAGAAAAAAAATAGCAGATTAATGGAGAATAGAAACTATCGTAGTAACTGATAAGTCTTCTAATTGAACGTTGCTCCCAAATACCCTGGTACGGCCGAGAGTGGGGAGAGTCCGCTCACCCTCTCGAAATGCTCTCACATGGCCACGCGTATATAGCCTCTGCCAGAAAAGTTCTACTCACTGCCTTCTCGTGGCGGGGGTGTTGTTTACGAAACTGAGAGACAGAAAAGCGAATATCCGGCACCGGCTTTAACCGGATCCCAAACCAATGGTGCACATGGGCTCCAGTATCCTGAAGAAACAAATGGCGTATGAACCAATCGTTGGTCACCGGCCACCATGGAACTGCATCTGCTTACGATGCTCCACTGCCCTGTGGGTCAGATCTTCAGGTTGAAGGCTCGGGATGTGGCCCCCTAAAAAACCACCTGCTTCGGTTTCAGCACCCGGACAGTATCACAGCCCTCACACAAATCAATTGAGATTTGTGTGGCGCATATGTATTTGGTGCCTCCTCGTACCAATATCTATGTGTTAAAATAAATAAATAATAAATAATTGAACGTTATATTCTGTTACTAAGCTCTCCTAGTAACCTCCAGGTTAAATCTACACGGTAATTTGAACACAAAAGAAAAAGCGCGAAATATAGATGAAACACTTTACTCCAAAGATTGGTTTATGTACAAAAAATCTAGGGTATTTATTGTCATGTAGATGGTCTTGGGTTTCCGGAAAATTCTGGAACGTTACTAAACATAGTAGCAGTATCGGTAATCATCCAACCGGAACCGCGACATGTACCATTTCACATTCCAGATGTTTCTATTAAAACTTCTATTGAATGCTGATTGAATAAGATGCTTCTCGACGTTTTCAGAGCCTTTTTTTGTAACTTCGTTCGAGGAGTTTTCTTAATCTCCCTAACAGTAACTAGTTATATTTGCAGAATAACAAGTTCTTATGATTGATCTCGCTTTTCGGAATTTCTAAAATATAAATATACATACAACTCGTAGTAATTAGTTCTAACTAATATACTGATCGGGTTATAATATGGTCAGTAGTCTATTGAATATTGTTGAACATTCTGAGCTAGATAATTTAATGGTTGAGATTTTGTTTCTATTCTGGACAAAATCATTAACGTTCACTTCAAATAGAAGTGAGCATTTTCATTATTTCACAAGTATTGTGTCCATCTGTTCTGGTGAAATTGTCTCTGATTGGCTGTCTTCACGGTTTTCATCATCTTCATTACTTTCCATTAGCTAAATTTTTCAGTCGACTAATAACCAAGTGACTAGTTGGCCTTTTACAAACAGATTAATAATTTGAATTTATAACAATGTGTATTAATAGTTGAGATCATGAGTCAAATGAAGCTAGACCACCATGGAAAACTTGAAATCAATGGACAGTCGTTTCATCCGATTGTAAAATTGTTGATAGAGTTTTGTTCTCTGAGCTCGATGGTTTGGTCGTGGAGATTTCATTGTTCTTCTGAACAAAATCATCAACACAAACTTCAGATAAAAGTGACGCCAATTGTATAATAGGAATATACTTCTAAAATAATGAATTCAGATTTTTGTGTAAAATTTTACACCTTTGCCTATATAACATGAAATAGTTCATTCTAAGAGCAAATATATGAAATTAAATCTTCGAAAATTATGTACCGAATATTTACATTGTAATCAAATTTACATGTAGTAAGGTATCTAGCCCCCGAATGCCCCTGGTACAGCCAAAAGTGGAGAGAGTCAACTCTCCATCTTGAAATGCTTTCATATAGCCGCGTGCCATACAACCACTACTAGGGAACTCCCATTCACAGCCTTTTAGCATTACGGGGGTGTTTTTTACGAAATTGACAGGATCAAAAGCGTATATCGGGTGGGTGGATATGGAAGATCCATCTAGGGGAGTTGAAAAATTCTAATTCCAAACCAACGGTGCACATCGGCTCCAGGATCCCGACGGAACAAAAGGCTTATGAACCAATTATTGGTCACCGGCTAACATGGGACTGCATCTCCTGACGTTACTCTACTGATTTGTAGATCAAACCTTTAGGTCAAACGCTCGACATGTAGCCTCCTCCTCCTCCAAACCCTTACATAAATCGAATAATTTATGTGGCACATATCTATTTGGTACTTCCTTGTATTAATGTTTATATATTTCTAGAATGGGTTTTGTGGAGAATTGGTAATTTCAATAGTTGAAATCATGAATCAATTGAGGCTAGACCACCATGGAAAACCTGGAAGCACTGAATGGCCGTTTCGTCCTAGTATGGGACTCCTCAGCAGTGCGCATCCACGATCCCGCCCCCCGCGGGATTCGAACCCAGGACCTATCAGTCTCGCGCCAGACGCTTAACCAACTAGACCACTGAGCCGACATCCAACGTTGTTAGGTCCTGGGTTCGAATCCCGCGGGGGCGGGATTGTGGATGCGCACTGCTGAGGAGTCCCATACTAGGACGAAACGGCCGTCCAGCGCTTCCAGGTTTTCCATGGTGGTCTAGCTTCAATTGATTCATGGTTTATATATTTATTGATTATTGCAAAAAAACTTCATTACTGATCATTGAATACTGTTCTTTTTTTCCTCCCTTCATTCAGATGATTATCAATCATTAAATTGTTGGAATGATTTACCAGTATATTATTCAAATCAATTTAAACAAGACAATATAACAAATTTAAATATACCACAATTATATATGAAACCATTAAAACAATCAATCACTGCACAGAATTCAAATGTAGATATTACCATTAATAATAGTAGTATTACGTCAACATCATTATCACCAACAACAACACTATCATCATTACCAATTGTATTACATAATAAGCAAAATGATTCTAATTGGAGATTACATAATACTCATCTATTAATGAATAATAATAATAATAATAATAATAATAATAATAATGGTTATATACAGAATAATAGTGTATTATCAACTTCACAAGCTTATACGGGATTAATTAAATCTACGTTTGTATAGTTACCTAGTCGGTTACGCAAATAATAATAATAATAATAATAATAATAGTAATATGATATTGTAATGCTATGATTACATATGGAATGAAACTCAATTTCTTTTCATAATTGCTTATTGGTCGTTTTAATTTTTTGGAGATTCCTTCTCATACACTCTCTCAGACAGACACACACACACTGACACACGTACACAACAGCACACACACACACGGATGGCAATATATACAAAATTGATAATTTTATTTGTAATCAAAAAGAAAAATATAAAATACTAAATTTTTATTATTATCAGAAGGGGTTTTGTGGATATTATAGTAATTTTAATGGTTAAGATTATGAGTCAGTTGAAGCCAGGCTACCATGGAAAATCTGGAAGCATTGGACGACTGTTTTGTCCTATTATGGGAATCCTCAGCAGTGCACATTCACGACCTCGCACCCCTGCGAGATTCAAACACAGGACCTACTAGTTTCGCGCGCGAGCACTTAACCACTAGACCACTGAACTAACTGGCATCCAACGGTGTTATTGTCTAACTTCAACTAATACACGAAATCGAACGACACATCCACCATTGTCTTCAGTGGGTTACTATCTCACAACAGACCTGGTCGAACTCCACTGGTCAATAACTTCCCACTAGAACTCCTGGATATACCTCTTGAAGCCAGTCACTAGTGAGCATATGTTGATTAATATCAGATGGGTTTTGTGGATATTATAGTAATTTCAATGGTTAAGATTATGAGTCAGTTGAAGCCAGACGACCATGGAAAACCTGGAAGGATTGTACGGCCGTTACGTCCTATTGTGGGACTCCTCAGCAATGCACACCCACGATGATTTATTATTTAATCAATCAGTTGATTATTAGTATAGTGGTTGTAGAGATTATTAAGTTTTTGATTGAGATTATGAATCGATTGATGTTAGAGCACTATTGAAAACCTGGAAGCATTGGACGGCCGATGGGACTCTTCAGCAATAGGCACCCACTATCCCTAGAACCCTTCAGTCTCACTCTGGAATGCTTAACTTTTAGACCACTGAACCGGTATCCAACTGTGTTGAGGAATCCACCAATAAAACGAAACAACCATCCAGTGATTCGAGGTATTCAATGGTGATCTAACATCAATTGGTTCATGATCTCAATCAATCAGTTTATCTAGAACAAGAGTATAGTATCATTAAATAGTTGGAGATAGTCAACTGAAAATCTTGAACCTACATTTTGTGCTAATTAACACATGTCACCAAGGCGTATCTGTAGTTTTGTAGAAACGATAAACTTAAGTGACACGAGTTCATATACCATAGTGATTATCATTTCTTTTGAATTCTCAAGGAAATGTCGCTTACAACTGTAAACTAACATTAAATTACCTTCAACCATATCATATTTAATTATAGCCTAATCGATGATGAGTCAATTAGAATGATAACTATATTGTAGTTTGATTAATAAAACCCGATCAGCATTAAGAGATTAGATAAACATAACATCGATCATTACTCAGTAATCGATCAATCAACAGTTAGATTCGTTTTTGATCAAAAAAAAAATTATTTAATTAAACAAAACATCATTACAAATCGATAAAATATATTGTCCCATACTATGATGAAACGGACATCTAGTACTTCCACGTTTTCTATGGTAGTCTAGCTTCAATTGATTCATGAATACAATTATTAAATTAATTATAATTTCCTATGACATTTAATAAACCAAGAATGCTAGAATGCCTGTGGTGATGTTAATGATGTAGACTCGTCAAACGATACCTTTTCAACATATTCACTTGAAGATCTGTTAATAAATGGTTAGGTTTTACACTTTAACGATTCTATCTCCAATCAATTGAGATGAAATAAGTTCATATTTTGTGGACTGTATTCATGTTTCCTCGAATTCAATGTTGCTTAAAATTTAATTTAATGGTTGAATTCATGAGTTAACTTAATATGGACCACGGTTGAAAACCTAGAAGCACTTAATGGCCTTTTTGTTCTAGTATAGGATTACTCAAAGCATCCACGATCCCTCATGAAGGATTCGAACTGAGGACCTTTGGTCTGGTGGGCGAATGCCAGCATTCAATGCTGTTACTGTCTAATTTCAACTAATCCACGAAATTGCGAAACCATCCACCACTGCTGAGGAGTCCTGTACTGGGACGAAACGGCCTCTCAGTACTTTTAGATTTTCCATGATGGTCTAGTTTTAATTAACTCATGAATTCTCCACAAAACCCCATTTCTGATAAAAAAAATTAATTATCGAGTAATTTGAAAATTGTAGAATCACTTCAACACATATCTTTGTCTCTTCTCATCATCTGCCACTGATAAGTGTTTATAAAATAAAAGATTTATTAGCTAAAACATTAAAGAGTTTCGTAAGTTTCACTATTTTTGTCATTTTATCGGACCCTTCACTTCTTCAAATCATCTTGATATAGAAGAACAAACATAATCAATAAAGTAGGGAATTTGTTTATGCGCAATAACATTACCACTAGTCGGAACATTGTTTATTGAGGAATCATTAAAACTATATTCTAGCTGAGTATATAAGCATTAAATCGAATCTGTACATGTCGCCACCGTCCAAAGATGAAGTACTTCATTTTCAAATGTAAATTTTCCCAAGATCCAATGAAGTTTGATTTAAAAAACAAGATGGTACATGAGACGTTAATGCGGATTTGTCCTACTCATCAGTGATCAAATCAGTCAGGAACAACGTGGAACTTCGTACGTACGTACATCAGTTCAAGTTGCTATACCACATTAGCACAGAGATTCAGTTATCGATTCAAATCCCGTAATGGTAGAGGTAGTGAAAGTATAAGTAGTGATAGGGAACATTAAAGTTTGATGATGTTATTTAAGGAGTATAATCCAATGGAATAGATTTGGAAAGAAAATAAAGGACATGGAGAATTCAGAAGATTAGAGTTTGAGAGAACACAAAGAGTGAATGCACCTGCGCCATTGCAAACGATTTTGAGCCATGTCATTCAAGGTCTCTAACCATCGGTTGCTATTGTCTCGCGGACCCCAACCAGGTAGTCTACACCTACCAACATGACTCAGTCCACTTGTCAGTGACTTCATGGATTTGTGCCATGTTTTGGTCTGGTCGCCCCTAGCTTTCTTCCAACCTACTCCTACACCAGAAAACATAGCACGTCGGGGCAGTCGATGGTCGGACATGCGTAACATATGTCCCAGCCATCTCAACTGATTACGTTTCACTACTTCATCAATTGATTTGCCATTCTTACCTAGTACCCGTTTCCTAACAACTGGATTACTTACTCGGTGGTCCCACGATATACGAGGAATGTTTCGAAGACACCTATGGTCAAATACTAGTAACCTACGAATATCCTCTACTCTTACAGGCCATGTTTCACTGCCATAAAGTAGGACGGAACGAACTGCTGAGCAGTAAACACCTCCTTTGGTTGATAGACGGATATCTCGCCTACGCCACAAATGATGCAAGTTGGCAAAAGCTAGTCGAGACTTTTGTATCCGTGATAAGATTTCGTCACACACCAAACCACAAGGGCTGATGAGACTTCCGAGATAAGTGAAGCGGTCGACACCCTCAACTACTTCACTCCCTATCACTAGTTCGGGTGTCGATGCAATTCAATCCTGAAGCAACATTTTGCATTTCGAGGGAGAAAATCGCATGCCCAACATGCTTGCATTGTTGCTTAGAGTGGTCAGCAGATTCCGCATTTTGTCAGCGTCTTCACCAAATAGAACTTTGTCATCGGCATACTCTAAGTCAACAAGTGAGTCTTTCGGTAGAAGTTCAACCACTAAAAAGTCAGATGTGGAAAGTGTCATCTCTAAAAGCACGTCAACGACAAAGTTAAACAAGAATGGAGAGAGTGGACAGCCCTGACGAACACCACTTAAGGTAATCAGTTCTGATGACAGTTCACCATAAGCTCTCACTCGACCAGTTGTGTTCGAGTAGAGAGCCTTTATAAGGTTAATGTACTTCTTTGATACTCCCTTCAGTGACAAACACTGCCATAGAACCTCACGATCAACAGAGTCAAATGCCGCCTTAAGGTCGAGAAGTACTACCATTGTGGGGCGTCTGAATGTGTGTCTATGTTCTAGGACCTGACGTAGTGTGAATATCTGATCTATACAACCACGTCCAGGTCGAAAACCAGCCTGGTTTTCTCTAGTCTGCACTTCACGAGCTTTGGTTAGGCGTCGAAGTAATATTGAAGCTAATATTTTAGACACTATATTAGTCAAACTAATTCCTCTATGATTGTCACAGAAGGACTTTTGTCCTTTCTTATATACTGGCACAATCAGTGATTGAGACAAGTCAGATGGGATTACGTCCAACTCCCAGATTCTACCTATGACCTCAGTCAATCTCGCTGCTCATACTGGACCTCCATCCTTAAAAATCTCAGGGGTAAACCTGTCAGGCTAATGAACTCCACATTCATATGAGATTTTTTGCTTTATATGTGTATAGAGGTGGATTAGGGAATAAATTACTTACCTCTTAATCATCAGTTCATAAATTAAAACTTCAATCCGTTTAATTCGATTTGAAAAATGAAACACTACCTACCAGACGCAATTTATAGAAGCAGTTTTATTTAAAGATGAGTACATAAAAGCTATAATTGGTATGTGAATGATTTTAGTTAAAGAAAAATACCTTCACAATTGATTGATCACTGGGTTGTGATCGGCGTCATCAATATCCGATGCTTGTTAGTGCATATCGAATTCTATCGACCAAGTAGCAATGTGGACACTAGTCTAGGTGATTGGACATTGCGTGCACTATGTTGAGATAAGATGGTGGTTGAAGGTAATCAACAGGAAAACCTGGACCTAGGTTTCGTGCTACTTGGCACTCGTCTTTAACTGTAAAGCTGGATGACACGGGATCGAATCCATCAGAGAGTATCAGTTTCCTTAAGATTACAGGTACACCTTACTGACGAGTGTCAAGTAACACGAAACATAGGTTTAGGGTTTCCTGTTGACAACCTCCAACTACTATCTTAAACATACATTCATATAAAACAATGTTATCTTTGTAAGGTATTGAACTCTTTTCTCACTATACAACTCTCAACTAACTAGGCAGCCTAATTTCATTACTAAACTGATTCTAGTATTTCTCTTGTCGTTAATTTACCTTTCATTAGATAACGAATAGGTGGAAGTATTTATAAAGTAATCAATCAATGAATAAAATGAAGTTTTGATTAGCCATATACATATTATCAATATTTGATCTCATTATTTTAGCGATCAAAAATGTAAGTTATATAAAATGTTAGAGATATCAAACTATAGTCAGTAGAGGGTGAGTGTAATTAGTTATTAATAGTTTATTTGACCTCAGTAGTTCATTGTATAAAAATTGATGTAAAACGTTTGTACATGCTATGAATATACAAGTAATGTACATCAAACAAACAAATAGGTTATTCCGAACATGGTAAATTAGTTTGTCCTGAACATGACCGATTACAGATCTGATTTACTTCTATTATTCAATCAGTCAGTTAGCAACAACGTAGGGCAAGGCACATATATGCAACGGTTCCTTTTGTCATACTTCATTGGCACAACAAGATGAACACCAAATTCATAGAAGTAATTACTTCAATGATAGTAATATATAAAAGAAAGGTTGTGTACAAGGATATAATCCAGGGAGAAAGAATGGTATTAAGTAATTTTATTCTCACGGTTTAAGGGAAGAGAAAGAGTGTATACACCTACGCCATTGTGATTGATTCTGAGCCATGTCACCCATTGATATATCTTGTCGTTTAATGCTATTTATTATATTTGGTCGTCGCTAATTGTTGTGTCGGAAATGCTTATCACTTATACTCGAAACGAGGGACCTCCGCAATTCCCATGGCACGAAATTAGGAACACATCGAATCAAAACGGAAGTAATTTTGAACCAAAACTCATCATGAGTAAATCAATCGAAAATTTAATTTTCTTTCATTCACCCATAGTCTCCAAACATTGGTTACGATGGTCACGCAGACCCCAACCAAGTATTCTGCATCTACCAACATGGCTCAGACTAGAAGTTAGTGACTTCAAGCATTGATGCCACGTTTTGGTTTGGCCACCACTAACTTTTTTTTCAGTCGACTCCAACACTAGTCAGCATGGCGAATCGTACTAATCCATGTTTAGACATACGTAAAACGTGGCACAACCATCTCTAGTCGATGTAAATTCACAATCTTATCGACTGATTTACCATTATTTCTTAAAACCTTGCGTCTAACCTCACTATTACTTACTCGGTGATCCCAGCAGATGCGAGCTCTATTTCTAAGAAATCTGTAATCAAATACTAGTAGCTTAACCTCTATTATTATATTTACGATGATATGTATGTAATGAATGTTAGTTAAACTGTAAGCATTTACTAATGTATCATGATAAGCACTACATTTAAATTTTTCTGAATCGATTAGCTCTAACACTTCATCATTACAAAATTAATTTAAGTAATCAAGAGGGAACCTATTCCTAAATTTCAAGTTATAAATCAAGACAGATGAAATTCGTACTTCTGAAAACATGAAATAATACAGTACACATCCATACACTCAGATCGTAATGATTCTTTATATGTGAGTATAAGTGATACTAACCAGTTCCACTAACTGGATTAAGCGAAATAATGTTAAGTTGAATCGTAAATCAAGCAGTAGCTACGTTGTATAATATATAAAAGAAGAGAAGGAACTAACAGAATATTTGGATGAACGATCAGTAGTAGTTATGTAATTGTTAGTAGTAGTTTTGTGCCCTTGATTCATCCCATCGCCAATTGTTATAACTTATGGCCTGTGTACCCTGTTGTTAATGTATAACGTAATGAGACCGCCAATTAAAGAACAGTGAATTATCGAATAGACCAGTGACGCATAAAACACGTACGAGCAGTCTAGTCTATATCGGTCCCGCCTTCTGCCTAACTCTGCCTCTTAGAGTCCAGAACACCAATCTCAGTCTCTGCGATATGAATAATTTATTTCAAACATATTGGGTTTATATAGCAACCAAACAGACCACATCGTACCATAAAATGGGAAACAACATTTGTACAAGATCTAGCCAAATGTGGCTGTGAATGAGGAAGGTAATGATTAATAGACAGGGAATAATTCAAGAATGGTAAATCGTATAATAATAGTTGATAGGTCAAAATAAAGCTCATCATAAAGAGGAATATGAATATGCATAGCTTAGCTACTTAACAAATATACAATAAAAATATACGTATAGTATTAGTCCGTAAATGGGTCCCAAAAGTTACCATTCCTTATTCTCATAGAGATATAACAGTACTAACCAAGAGACGAATGTTGACAATAAGTAAATTACAAAAAAATTGGAAGAAATACAAATATAGTTTATCAAAGTTCTGCTACAAACTCCTCTATACCGATGGCCAAAGTAGCGAGAGTGATTATATAAACTTCTTTTGGATGCAAAAGTTAAGTTTGTGAAAATGGATTGCAATAGCTTCAGCAATGTGCAAAAGATTCATTCGTAAACTTGATGGAATATGGTGGATAATCTTAAAAGCTTTACTCAATTTAACTTGGTGACTTGTGTCCACCAAGTGAACGAGAATAGAACTCTTAATTATTCTTACCTATCCTTTGCTGAACCACGACAGATGGTGTCCTGTTATACAATACCGAACTTGACTAATTGTACACTCTATATAACTAGCACCACAGGAGCAGTTGAATCGGTAAATATACATGGGTTTGAAGAATATTTAATTATCAGAAGGGGTTGTGTGGAGATTTTCGAAATTTCACTGGTTGAAATCATGAATCAATTGAAGCTAAAGCACAATGGAAAACCTGGAAGCACTGGATGGCCGTTTCCTCCTAGTATGGGACTCAGCAGTGCGCATCCACGATCCTGCTCCCCGCGAGATTCGAACCCAGGACCTATCAGTCTCGCGCATATTTAATTTACAAAATATCAATCAATTTTCTGGAAATTGACGATTCCTTTTGCAAATATCAATCAATCGTTTCAGATCTTATTGTTCCTGCATTTTCATATTAATTGTTATCTGTTCCCGTTCTTTCCTGCTCGATCTTCTACTGTCAGACATTTTATTCCATCCTAACTATCGTTATATACTACTTATATGGATATAAGTAGCCCATACCACACTTTAACTACTTAGTTACCATTTCATATCTCCAACCAACTTTAGTATTATTATTATATACATTGAATTGTTCAACTAAAACTCTACAATAACATTAGACAGAAGTAAAAATGAATTTATTTGAAAACTATACCAACTATAAATCTGAATAGAAACATCTATATAGATTTATACTTGCAAAACTTATTGTAAAGAGAAAAACAAAGAAAAGAAAAGACCAGTAAAAATATCATGAACATTCTTTTTTGCTTGGAATATCCGGAGAATTAGTTTGCTTCTGGTTTCTTTGACACACAAAAAAGAAACACTTAAACAAACCTATGAACATAATATTTGGTAACTATATGATGTTGTATATATATATATATATATATATATATATATATATATATATATATATATATATATATGAGTATAACAATAATCTTCTCAATGATATACTTCGTAACAAATATAAAATGGTTTTTTTCACGCCGCCATCGCCCTACCCCCCCCCCGCCACACTCACCTATTCACTTTCATACCTTCATTTCTGATCTATTTTAATTGAACTTAATGATGAATTAATATTTATCGATGATGAGATTAACGAAGACGATGATTCGGATGATTCAGATGATGATGTCGATGATGATGATGATGATGAGGAGGAGGAGGAGGATAGAATAAGTTGTTCAAGTAATTTATAAACAGTAGAAGGATTAAATTTATTCGAATTATTGTAACATTCTGAATTTTTTATTAAATGCATAACCAACTTTTTTAAACTTTTCTTATTACCATTTTTATATTGTCTGACCTAATGAAAGAAGAAAAAATAAATAATGACAAAGATATTACAAAGAAGAGAAGCATATTTAAAAAGCGCGCGCCTGTGTGTGCGCGCGCGCATAAACACACACACACGCACAAAACGAACGTATCTATAAAAGAAGCTACTTTGGAAAGAAATAAAGAAAGAAAAAAGAAAAAAAAGAAAGAAAACAAAAGTAGAAGAGATTAAGTAGAGATATATAAAAAATTAAAAAAAAAAATATGTATATCAAATACATTTCAACAAATTATATATTAACACATCTACACAAATTGAATGATCAGATTAAAATGGATTAAATTAGATATAATGAAAATTATGAAGAGAGAGAAAGAGAGAGAGACAGGATTAACTGATTAAGAAATTAGAAAATCTTAATAATCATTTATAAGTTAAGATGGATAGATGGTTAACAGTGGAATACAGTTTGATGCACGTTTCCTATCATCTATTTAGGATTCATTAGTTCGATGTAATTGTATTCTAGAGTTGAGTACCAGAGTGAACATGAAGTTTGAAATGTAGATATATTCAGTTAATAAGTTCTAAATAGAATGAAACATGCATCTTAGATTCCACCACTATTAGTCATTATTCATCTTTACTTATATGCCCCCAAATGCCCTGGTACGGCCGAGAGTGGGGATAGTCCACTCTCCCTCTCGAAATGCTCTCACATGGCCACGCGTATATAGCCCCTGCCGGGGAAGTCCTACTCACTGCCTTCTCGCACCACGGGTGTTGTTTACGAAAATGAGAGGAAGAAAAGCGAATGTCCGGCACCGGCTTTAACCGGATCCCAAACCAATGGTGCACATGGGCTCCAGTATCCTGAAGGAACAAATGGCGTATGAACAAATCGTCGGTCACCGGCTACCATGGGACTGCATCTCCTCACGATTCTCCACTGCCTTGTGGATCAGACGTTCAGGTCAAAGGCTCGGGGTGTGGTCTCCTAAGTAAACCACCTGCTTCGGTTTGGGCACCCGAGCAGTATCACAGCCCTCACACAAATCAATTGAGATTCGTGTGGCGCATATGTATTTGGTGCCTCCTTGTACCAATACCTATGTGTTAAAATAATAATAATAATAATAATATCTTTACTTATAAAGTTTGTGACTTAATGCTATATTGAAGCAATCCATACAGGATGTACATATGCCAATAAGAAACTGATCAATTGCAGTTCTAAGCAACAATAGGAAGGTACAAGTAAACAATATCAAATGAATTTAAAAATGATAATCATTGCAAAAGGGATAATAAGATTGATTACATTTAGAATTACATATATATATAATTACACAATATTAAGATTAAATGGTTAATAGCTTTACAATAAATAACCTAAATATGATTATTTCTCAGAGAGGAAATTTTTGAAGATTGTAGTAATTTAATAATTCAATTCATGAGTTCATTGAAGCTAGACCACCATGAAAAACCTGAAAGCATTGGATAGCCGTTTCGTCCTAGAATATAAGACTCTTCAACAGTGCGTATTACTGTAATTAATCAATCTACATTTATGATAGAAATGATCTTACCAGATATGAGTTATCATAATGACTCATATGCTTTTAATCAAATTTTTTACAAAAATGAGAAAAATTTGTCGGATGTATCAAATGATGATCAAGAACCTAATGAAATTTTGATAGATGCTGATTATTCTACTGATTCATTATTTACTAATGAGATTTTCAAGAAATTTGGTGAAAATATCTCGGAAGAATCAAACTTTAATGACCGCAGTTCTAGTAGACTATCTATTCAATACGGGAAATATATTTTGAATAAAGTCACAATAACTGTAAGTTGGAAATATGAGGACCCGACATTATTTCGTGGGGAAGGATAAAGTCAGAAAATTCAAAGTCAGGATCTAAACTTTGAGTCTTCGAAAAAAGAAATCGAGGTGATATGATGGAAAGAAATTTAATTTTCGATTGATTTACTCATTATGATTTCTAGTTCAACTTTACTTCCGTTTTGATTCGATGTAATGATTACTCAATGTAGTATTCGTTTTCTCGTATATTATATTCTATATAATATACGATATTCTTGTATTCCATTGACATGAATTATGCTCAGTGTGTCATTTGTTATAACCCTATGTATTTTTCATATATGTGATTTCATCCTAATTATTAATTAAAATGGGTGCAAAATCAATATAGAAATGCGTGTCTTTTTGACTAGGATCGCCGTGTTTTGGGTTTAATAAATCTTCACTTATACCAGTTTTTGTGTTCTTACTTTCGTGTCGTGGGAATTGCCAAGGTCCCTCGTTTCGAATATGAGTGATAAGCATTTCCGACGCAACGGTCAGCGACGACCAGATATAAAAAGAAGCATTCAAACAATAAGATATAACAAAGCCGTAACCAGTGGAGCTAATCCGTATCAGGTAGAAACAGGTATCTACCTCAGACAATGGAAGATGATCGCGTAATTTGGCGGATTGGTTGAGATTAAGCATTAACACCGTTGAATACCTGCCAGCTCAGTCGTACGAAGGTTAAACGTTCGTGCGCGAGACTAAAGACCCTGAGTTCGAATGTCACATGCTGGATCGTGGATGAGCGCTGCTCTAAAGTCCCAAAATACGACGAAACGGCCGTTCAGTGCTTCCAGGTTTTCAATAATGGTCTAATATTGATCGATTCACTTGGAGCAACACATAGATATTGGTACAAAAGGGCACCAGATACATATGCACCACATAAATCTCATTCGATTTGTGTGAGTGCAGGGATACTGTCCGGGTGCCCAAACCGAAATAGTTTGTTTTCTTAGAGGGTAACTACCGGAGCCTTCGGCCTAAAGGTCTAATCCACAAGGCAGTGGAACAACGTAAGAAGATGCAGTTCCATGATAGCCGGTGATCAACGATTGGTTCATACGCGATTTGTTCCCTCAGGATACTGGAGCCCATGGGCACCTTTGGTACCCTAGGTGGACTCTCTGTGTCCACAAACCCGACTAAAACGCCGGACATTCGCTTTTCGTCCTTTCAAACTCGTAAACAACACTCCCGCCACGAGAATGTGGTGAGTAGGGCTTCCCTGGCAGTGGTTGAATGGCACGTGGCTATGTGAGAGCATTTCGAGATGGAGAGCGGACTCTCTCCATTCTCTGCCGTGCCAGGGCATTTGAAGGTTGATCAATTCATGATCTCAATCAAAAAGAAGCAATTGTTTACTCTATTCGATTGAATTGTTTTATCTCTCTATAACAAAAGTTTGTAATTACTTTGAATATGTTTTTGTAAAGTTTAGAAATATTAGAAAGTAACCATTTGTTTGTTAGTTGTTTTTTCTTAAAGTTATCATCATAAACAGATAAACAAACTATGATCCGTTGTATCAAAATATAAGTGTTACAAATAAATAAAATAAAATACCGTTACTTAATTATATGCTACATATTAGAAAAAACGGACTATGAAGCCGCCAAGAAAACAATCCCTTTTGTTATTGACATATTATGTTTACATAAATTATATGATAGAAATTGAGTAATATAATTTTATTTAACATAAATGATTAATCAGTATGGAGTTGGGGAAATTGTTATATTTTTTTTATTGAGATGATGAATCGATTAATCTTAGACCACATGGAATCACTGGATGGCCGTTTTGTCCTAGTATAAGACTACTCAGCAATGCGCATCCACGTCACAGCATGTGACATTCGAACTCAGGGTCTTCAGTCTCGCGCACGAACGCTTAACCTCCATACCACTGAGGTGGCAGGTATTCAACGTTGTTAATGTTCAATTTCAACCAATCCGCCAAATTACGCGATCATCTTCCATTGTCTGAGGTAGATACCTGTTTCTATCTGATACGGATTAGCTCCACTGGTTATGGCTTTTCACTAAAACTCTAAGAATTAGCTCACGAAGCTAGTCGCTAGTGAACACATGGTAATTATCATTATGGAGTTGCGGACAAAACAACTGTCCAGTAATTCCAGGTTTTAAATGGTGATCTAACATTGATCGATTCATTTATTTATTTATTTTAACACATAAGTATAGGTACAGGGAGGCACCAAATACATATGCGCTACACGAATCTCAATTGATTTGTGCGAGGGCTGTAATACTGCCCGGGTGCCCAAACCGAAGCAGGTGGTTTACTTAGGGGGCCACACCCCGAGCCTTCGACCTGAACGTCTGACCCACAAGGCAGTGGAGCATCGTGAGGAGATGCAGTTCCATGGTAGTCGGTGACCAACGATTGGTCCATACGCCATTTGTTCCTTCAGGATACTGGAGCCCATGTGCACCATTGGTTTGGGGTCCGGTTAGAGCGCCGGACATTCGCTTTTCGTCCTCTCATTTTTGTAAACAACACCCCCGCCACGAGAAGGCAGTGAGTAGGAATTTCCTGGCAGAGGCTATATACGCATGGCCATGTGAGAGCATTTCGAGAGGGAGAGTGGACTATCCCCACTCTCGGCCGTACCAGGGCATTTGGGGGCGATCGAATCATGATCTCAATAAACTAATAAATCTAAGTATCAAAACACGCTAAAGAGATCTGATATACTTACTACAAAACATGATGCTATATGCAACCAACTCAGTGAAATGTCTAGATAGGATACTATTGAACAGATTTAAACCTAAGAAGGAACAGCTATACAGTTCCATTAGACTTCCATTTGTGTTTTTTCTAGATAACTTCAAATTTACAGTTTAAAAAAATCACATTAAAAATATACAAAAAATATTTATGAAACTGAAACAGAATAAACAAAAAAGTGGTGTTAAACCTACCAATTTAGGATAATCATTAATTAGTTTCTCACATTGAATTTTGATTTCATCTGGATCTTGAATTAAAATTAGATCATGTTCAACAGCTAACTGATAAACTGAAGGATATGCATTTTCATCACTCTGAATAATTAGATTCAAGAGCTAAGAGCAAAAAGAGATAGAGAGAGAACAATATAATGAAATAAAACAAAACACAATATTGTGGTGTACGCTACTCATGTCGACAGATATTGAGGCGGAGAGCGTAGCACAGATTGAAGCAAAGGAGAAAGTGGCAACGTGAGCTAAAACCACTACAAGAGCGACTGTCTAAAGGTGGGGACGAGTGTGGTGTATACTGCTTATGTCGATAAATATAAGTAGTATATAACACTAAACAGAAGTGGGATGCCTGGAGGCAGAAAGTTGGAAAGACCAAGTCGAAGAGAATGGGAACATAGAGTAATTCGTATAGCAATGAAGGAACGATGATGTTTGAGACAACTGCTGAAGGATCTGCAAAAGAAGTATTGAACGTACCAGTTTTTTTTTCAGTATAACAAAGAATTCTATAAAGTTTTATTAAAATATATTTGGTTGTCAGCAACTGTGTTCTCGTTCATCACACTCTTATAGATTGTAAACATTGTCTTAGAATAGAAAATTGAGATCAACTTCAGCCAACTTATAACGTATTCTTCATAAGTGATTCATTCTATCATGACTGACATAATCGATATTGGATAGGGATCATGGGTATATCGTAAGGTGATTATAACAGAAAATGTATTCAGCTTACAACAAAACTTAAAATGTTTCGTTTCAGCCGAAAATAGTTTGAAATCACTAGAGAATCCTAAACTCGGATATAAAATATGTTCATTATTTCTTGAGAATAAGTTACAGTGATAATTAAAACAAACGCAGTTCTCTTTATATCTTAACTGGAACATTTAAAAAGTCACTAACTTCTGTTCTGAGCCATGTTGGTAGATACTGACTACTTGATTGGGATCCGCGTGACTGTCGTAACTAATGGTTGGAGACTCTGGGTGACATGGTTCAAAATCGATCACAATGGCGTAGGTGTATACACTCTCTGTCTTCCCTTAAACTATGAGATTGAAATTAGTTTATACCTTTCTTCCTACCAACTAATTCTTTCTCCCTGTATCATATCCTTATCTACAATCTTTCTTTTATATAATACCACCATTAAATTAACTAGTCCGATGAATTTGGTGTTCATCCTGTTGTACTAATGAGGTGCAGCAACTTGGACCGATTCATATATGTACCTGGTCCTACGCTGTAGCTGACTGACTGATTAATATACAACAAATAAATTTCTTTAAATACACGTTCTTCAAAAAAGACCGAATTTTTTAAATTCCCTTTTTATCTGTCTTAATATTAGTGATATTTGAAGGGGTTGTTTGTGGATATTGTAGTAATTTTAATAGTTGAAATCATGAGTCAATTGAAGCTAGACTACCATGGAAAACCTGGACGGCCTTTTTGTCCTACTGTGGGGCTCCTCAGCAGTGCGCATCCACGACCTCGCCCCCTGAGAGATTCGAACCCAGGATCTACTGGTTTCGCGCGCGAGCACTTAATCACTAGACCACTGAGCCAGCATTTATTTATTTATTAACTATGTAATTCATTGTTTCTGCTAGGTCCCGATAATCATAATGAATGGTAACTTTTGGGATCCATTTACGGATCAATACTATGCGTATATTTTTATCATGTAATTGTTAAGTAGCTAAACGATTCATATTCATATTCCTCTTATTATAAGCTTTATTTCGACCTATGAACTATTATTATACGTTTCACGTTTCTTGAATTATGCCCTGTCTATTAGTCACTGCCTCACACATTTGGCCAAATTTTGTACAAATGTTATTACCTAGTTTATGGTACGTTGCGGTCTGTTTGGTTGCTATATAAACCCAATATGTTTGAAATAAATGATTCATATCGCATAGGCTCAGATTGGTGTTCTGGACTTAGCTGGCTGGGTTAGACAGCAAGCGAGACCAATAAGGACTCTAGACTGCTCATACGGGTTTACGCGCCATTGATTCGATCGATAATTCACTGTTCTCTAATTGGCGGTATCGTTACGTTATACATCAACATGGCACACAGCTACAACAGTTTCCGAGATTACATTTTTATACATACTAATTACACTACTTAAATATTATAATGAGTAATTTCACTAATATTGGAATATTTCTAATGAGAATTATAGCTTTATAATGACAAGCCTATTACTGTTGAATTTCCTTCTGTAAGTTACCAATTAAAGTTTTATTTTTTATAAAATGATTCATCTATTTTGAAATCTAGTATCTAATTCTTATTTTCATTAAATGTTGATAAACTGGCTAGTAACAACTATGTGTTGTTTTGTGATTGATGAAACATGTCAGTCAATTTTTCAGTTGGTTAACTATTCAATTACAGACAGACTAATTATATTCCACTGACGTTAGAAAAACTGTATGGTTTTTTTTCCTTTTATAAGTAATGTTTCTGAGATGATGGAAAGAAAAGTCAAAATTCAATTGATTTACTCATTATGAGTTTTGTTCAACATTACTTCCGTTCTGATTTAATGTGATGATCAGTCAGTGTAATATTCGGTTTTCATTCCTCTTATGATACTTTATTCTGTATAATATATAATATTTCAATAGTTAAAATCATTAGTCAATTGAAGTTAGACCACCACGGAAAACCTGAAAGCACTGGATAGCCATTTTGTCTTATTGCGGGACTCCTCAGCAGTGAGCATCCACGACCACACCTTGCAAGTTCCGAACCCAGGACCTATCAGTCTCGCGAGCGAATGCTTAACCCCTAGACAACTGATTCGGCCGGCATCCAACAGTGTTAATGTCTAACTTCAACTAATCCACGAAATTGAGTTGCACATTCATCATTGTCATCAGTGAGTAACTATCACACAACAGACCTGGTTGAACTCTACTGGTCACTAGTTCTCACTAGAACTCCAGGATATACCTCTTGAAGCCAGACACTAGTGAGCGTATGTTGATTAATATCAGAAGGGGTTTTTATTATATAATACTGAAAAAAAGGCTCAAATTACATAAAACTGTAACATTTTTTTAAATTTCCAATGATTGCATCATGTTATTAGAAATTAATTTGATGAATTTTTTCCTTTCCCTATGTAGCTGAGTAATAATATTACATGTTAATGGAAAATGTAACTTACTTGAACTGCTGCTGGTCCAAATATCTGTCCAGTTAAATTCATTTGGACAAATTCAGCCAATTGTTCAACTTTAGGAAGACTAAATTTTGATTAGGAAAAAGGTTGTTTTATTTTTCAAAGAAAGAAACTGAGAATATGCTAATGAATATCAACAATTAAGTTAACATATTCAATTAAGAGATGATGTAAGTAATATCATCAAACTGCATCACGTGGCAAATGTTAACTTAATATCCTGAAGGGAAACTCTCTGTCTCTGTAGACACATAGATATTGGTACAACGGGGCACCAGATACATATGCGACACATAAATCTCATTTGATTTGTGTGAGGGCTGTGATACTGCCCAGGTGCCCAAACTAAAGCAAGTGGTTTTCTTAAGGGGCCACACCCAGAGCATTCGACCTAAAGGTCTAATCCACAAGGCAGTGGAGCAACGCAAGTAGATGCAGTCCCATGGTAGCCGGTTACCAATAGTTGGTTCATACGTCATTTGTTCCCTCAGGATACGGGAGCCCATATGCACCATTGGTTTAGAATCAGTGTTTTCCAGTTCCTCTAGGTGGACTCACCGTGTCCACAAACCCAACTAAAACGCCGGACATTCTCTTTTCGTCCTCTCAATCTCGTAAACAACACTCCCGCCACGAGAATGTGGTGAGTAGGGCTTCCCTGGTAGTGGTTGAATGGCACGTGGCTATGTGAGAGCATTTCAAGAGGGAGAGCTGACTCTCCGCATTCTCGGCCATACCAGGGTATTGAAAGACCAGAATGGAAACACAAAACTCGAAGTCTAAAGAACACACTACATCAGGAATAGAAAGCAAACATGAAAAGAATGAATAGCAACTAAAAAGAACTGGAAAAAATTACCTATAACAGAGTTGGATGGAGAGTGCCAGTGGGTGATCTATGCTCCTCGACGAGGAGTAACAAGTATAAGTAAGTAAGTAAGTAAGTAAGTAAGTAAGTAAGTAAGTAAGTAAGTAAGTAAGTAAGTAAGTAAGTAAGTAAGTAAGTAAGTAAGTAAGTAAGTAAGTAAGTAAGTAAGTAAGTAAGTAAGTAAGTAAGTAAGTAAGTAAGTAAGTAAGTAAGTAAGTAAGTAAGTAAGTAAGTAAGTAAGTAAGTAAGTAAGTAAGTAAGTAAGTAAGTAAGTAAGTAAGTAAGTAAGTAAGTAAGTAAGTAAGTAAGTAAGTAAGTAAGTAAGTAAGTAAGTAAGTAAGTAAGTAAGTAAGTAAGTAAGTAAGTAAGTAAGTAAGTAAGTAAGTAAGTAAGTAAGTAAGTAAGTAAGTAAGTAAGTAAGTAAGTAAGTAAGTAAGTAAGTAAGTAAGTAAGTAAGTAAGTAAGTAAGTAAGTAAGTAAGTAAGTAAGTAAGTAAGTAAGTAAGTAAGTAAGTAAGTAAGTAAGTAAGTAAGTAAGTAAGTAAGTAAGTAAGTAAGTAAGTAAGTAAGTAAGTAAGTAAGTAAGTAAGTAAGTAAGTAAGTAAGTAAGTAAGTAAGTAAGTAAGTAAGTAAGTGAGTATAATTTAATGAAATTATTAACTTACCGTCTCAATATTTTATCTTTACTTGAATAATTTAAATAGCCAGTAATCCAATAACTTAATTCTTTAGCATAAGTTACAATATTGAAATGTTCATTATTATATTATTATTATTATTATTAATTAAATAATTCAATGTGAATTCATATAATTGACATAATTCATTATTATCAATTAAAATAATAACACGATTTAATGATAAACCATGTTCAATTAAAAATAATTGTTTTTTATATTGAGGTAAATTCATTAACCAATTTATAGAATTTAAATGATATTTTTGTTTAATACACTGTATACAAATTTGATTATTGGATAATGATATAGAAGATCCAGATGATGCAGATGAGGTGTGTGATGTGGATGATGATGCAGATGAGGTGGGTAATGTGGATGATGATTGAGATGAACATATTGAACAATTTGATAAAATTTTAATAGAAGGTAAATTCGGTTCAGGTATATAACGATAATCTTGAGCTAATTCTTTATCTCGCATTCGTAAGGTTACACTACAATCATAATCATTATTGTTATTATTATTATTATTATTATTATTATTATTATTATTATTATTATGAAAGAAGTGAAAAAAACAACAAAAAAAAAGAAGGACAATTAACAAGTGAAAATATGATTACCAATGAATTAGATGATATAGACTGAGAAACTGTTAGGTCCCGATAAGCATAATAAATGGTAACTTTTGGGATCCATTTATAGAACAATACTATACGTATATTTTTACAGTATAATTGTTAAATAACTAAACTATTCATAGTCATGTCCCTCTTTATGATGAGCTTTATTTTGACCTATGAACTATTATAATACGATTTATCATTCTTGAATTATGCCCTGTCTATTAATTACTTCCTCCCTCATTCACAGTCACATTTGGCTAAATCTTGTACAAATGTTGTTTCCTATTTTATTGGTACGATGTGGTCTGTTTGATTAGTATATAAACCCCGTACGTTTGAAATACATTATTTATATCGCAGATGCTTAGATTGGTGCTGGACTTAACTGGCTTGGCTAGGAGGAAAGCAGGGCCAATCAGGACTGTAGACTGCTCGTACTGGTTTGGAATCAGTTTTCCAACTCCCCTAGGTGAACTCTCCGTGTCCACCAACGCGATTAAAGCGCCAGACATTCGCTTTTCGTCTTTTGAATTTCGTAAACAACACTCCTGCCACGAAAAGGTAGTGACAATGGTCGTATACGTGTGGCCATGTGAGAGCAATTTGAGACGGAGAGCTTACTCTCTGCACCTTCGGTCGTACCAGGGCATTTGGGGGCTTTCATACATACGTAAGTAATTAACTAATCAGATTGTAGTATAACGCCAACCACATTGACTTAGTTTGACCTCTATACGAGTTGATGTTTACTCGACTATCAACAAAACTGATCACAATAGCTCAGTCATATGTATTTTCTCAACTTGACTTTATACTTTTAATCTATAAATCTTATTCATTTTTTTCTCGAACCACATTTCTTCTTTAAAAACTCCCTTGCTTTTTATCTAGTATATTATTTACTTTACTGATGATTATAGAGTATTGACTAGTTGAATCAATGTGTGATTGTTACTAACTCTTATGTGGTTTCACAATTAACTAATTGCTTGATCTAATGATGATGATCATAAGAATAATGCAGATTTTTTTTTTTCAAAAACAAACGAAATCGTTTTCAGATCAAGATGAAACATATATGTACAGTGAAATTTACAACATAAAGAATAATAGTAATCTATACAATCATAGGATTATTATACAATCCATGGAGTTGAATATAATCATTGTAAAAATATTATAAACTTACTTATCCACTGGATCATAACACCGAGTTTCTTGTGTAATTTGTCCACCAGAATTGAGAATTTCAGATTGGCGCTTAATCTCATAGTCTGGAATGAAGAAAAAAACAATAAATCGTACATTAAAAGACAGATTTTCTTTAGCAAACTAGTGTCAGAATAATTGGAAACCTTGGTCCATTGAATAATTATTACTCTTCGTTACAGACTATATAGCAACACGCAGACAAAACACTACATCGGTTCTCAAGTGAACACACTTAATGTTTCATTTACAATATGGAAGAACCCCTATCAGTCACAGCTCAATGGGTTCAGAGTGCGATCTCATATACAGAGTAGTAAATAGCCATTGTGAATGAAACTTTTGGTCTACAGTAAAGATTTATCGACTTTTTAAATCAAATCTAGAATATATATATAGCTTATTAAATAGTTACCAGATAACAGTACAAATGTATATTGGTCTAAGTTGTCAATCTTCATATTAGCAACAAAAAGAGTGTAAACTAATAGGAATAAATGGTGGTCTCGATCAATGTTTAGCAATACTAACCAAATAAGAAGTTCACAAGTACACGGATTCATGTACTGATATTATATACTGGTTTGGCTGCAATTCATTAGTTTAAAAATGTGAAAAAGATACCATAATTTCCTAGATCAGAAAGATATAAATTTGACATTTGTATTTATTTAGACGAAGAAGCTGATTAAATTTTACGTTCTAAAATTAGAAACAAACATATATTAATTTAAATACATAGATATTGGTACAAGGAGGCATCAAATACATATGCGCCACGCAAATCTGGTTTGATATGTGTGAGGGCTGTGATACTGCCCGGGTGCCCAAACCGAATGTTACTTCTAAATCTATCTCATCGATGAATATTCATCAGAATGGATTTGAAATGTTCCAATTGTATGTAACAGTATCATAAAATGAGAACTATTAAAGTTCAGGATTTCTTCTTGATAGAGGAAATCAATGCATCTGTGAAATTCTGTAAAGTTGTATTTGATGAAATTTAAAAGATCTATTCTTTACATACATACAAACAACATATTCCACTGGAATTTTTCAAATTTATTTTACTTAAACATAAAGATTGGTGCAAAAGGGTACCAAAATATATATGTGCCACACAAATTATTTATCGTTAAATTGGTGTATGAACTTGGATACTATCCGGCTGTCCAAACCGAAACAGGTGGTTTTCTCGGGGAGGTATAATTCTTGTGGCAGTGGAACAACCTTGGGAGATGCGGTTTCATGGTAGTTGGTGACCAACAATAGGTTCATATGCCATTTGTTATTTCACAGGATTATTGAGCCCTTGTGCATTGTTGGTTTGGAATCACGCTTTCGCAACTCCCTAGGTGGATCTTTCGTATCCACTAACTCGGTTAAAGTGCCACACATTCACTTTTCGTCCTCTCAATTTCTTAAACAACACACCCTCCTCGACAACGCAGTGAGTTCGACTTCCCTGTCAGTAGCTATATACACGTGGTCATGTCACAGGGAGAGCGATATCTCGTCACCCTCGGTCTTAATGGGGCATTCAAGAATCCTATGTCCATATCATAAATGTTGGTACATGAAGAGAATGTCCAGCTGCGACTTATTTGTGTACATAAAACATTTACTTATGTAGATTTTTATACTCATTTAGTGTTTAGTGAATGCCATCTACCACATGAGATGCCCATTTCAGAGGCAAAGTTTTAATCACGATGTGATTTTTATTAAATAATCATTGAGAAAGGCGATTGGATTTTTTATGTGTGAAATCAATCAAGTCAGTAGGAGAATAGTTACTCACTCACTGGTGATAATATTACATGAGCATTAAATTTTCGATTGTAATTGGAAAGATTGTCTCTAAAATACTAATGAAATAATTTCAAAATATCATACTGACTTTATGATCTGTATATTCTATGTTCGATTCAATGTGTCATCGAAAACTATATCGTTTAAGAATATTTTGATAATATATTCACTAGTTTGAGAACGGAACAAAGACTCTGTGAATAAAGACCATTAATCAGGCTATTTTGATGTGTTCTAGGCCCGTTAACTAGAGATTAAATTGCAAGTTCGAAACATGGAAATATATTCTGTAAGCAGCCAGAAGCACAAGTAATAACAACAGGCACAAACCAAACGTATATATACAGCATAAACTTATATCACAATTGATTGATCACTGGGTGGTGATCAATGTTATGCGTGTCTAGTCCTTATTATTAGTGCAGATCAAATGCTAGCGATCATGTTGAAATGTGGCCACCAGTCTAGGTGACTCAACACTGCGGGCACTATTGTGAGATTAGATGGTGACTGGAGGTAGTCAACAGGAAACCCTTGACCCGGGTTTCGTGCTACTTGGCACTCGTCAGCAAGGCGTATCTGTAATCTCGAGTCACCTAGACTAGTGGTCATATCGCAACTTGGTCGATAGCATTCGATCTGCACTAGAAGGGACTTGAAACACATGACATTGATCACCACCCAGTGATCAATTAATTGTGACTATATATCGGTCCTACAGGAGATCGGTCACGGCCCAGACAACCAAGTGGTACCGTCTCTGGCTGCGAAGTTGGATGACACGGGTCGAATCCATCAGGGAACATGAGTTCCCTCAAGATTACAGGTACACCTTGCTGACAAGTGCCAAGTAGCACGAAACCCGGATCCACGGTTTTCTGTCGATTACCTCCAACCACCATCTAAGCATAAACTTGTCTTTGAAAAAAGTTACAAAATAGCATACTAAAACATATAACGAACCAATAGCGTTTAAGTTTCTCCCAAGTGGGTTATACGGCATAAAAAATTAAGATCAACATATTCGATATGTAATATAGTTAATTACTAACTCTATTGAAGGTAGCGAATTACCCAAGATGAAAGATATTCTCATAATACTTCGTAAGATTTCTATGAATTAAATTGTTTTTCATATAAATAACTAGTGAAAATCTTTTTACGATAAAAAATAATGTACACAATAATAACCACGAAATAACGTAAACAAATTAAGGATAATCAACAAGTTAATATAAAATGAAACTACCAACCAATTGAAGAAATTACACCATGAATAGTACTAATATTTTTAATTTCAACTCGAGGATTTTGATTGGCTATATCTTGACCAATAGAAACATTAACATCAACACGTAGTTCACCAAATGCACCAATAGCATTACAACATTTTAAATGTCTTAATAAACGTGATAAATCCATAATGAATGCAGCAACTTGATCAGATGAATTAAAATCTGGTTCAGTAACAATTTCTATAAGAGCGACATCTGAAATGGATCAAGCAATTCAAAAGAGTGTCATTGAGTTCACTTACTGTATTCTGAAAATCGCCACCATTATAACTGGTAAATTGGGTCGATTGGAATAAGCAGCTAACTGCTATATCTAGGGTGTCGACGCTGTACGTATGTCTCAAATATGTTGAGTTCGCAGTCTAACTTCTTTGACTTGAGAATCAGATTCCACTTTAATTCCTCGATCTTATTGCTTATGCTCGGAAACGGGAACCACTACAATTCCCATGAGGAAGTGAGAACATGAAAGACTAGTGAAATGAATACATCGTTCATGTTTAGTATATGCAAGCACCTATCATGAGACTCTCAATTAGTTTGTATGAAACTTATTATTGCCTATGGCTTCCAAACATGTATTGATTGGTGTAGCAGTCACAGGATTTCGAATTGATATTTATTATGAGAGATTCTTACAGATGATAGAAACTATCAAACTTGAAAATTTATAGCTATTAAAATGATATCAAATAGTATGTTTCCCTTATTTATACTCACTTCTGGAATATTAAATAGCACTGGATGACTTTGGAGTCCTCAATCAAAATTTAGCTATGCTAACAAAATGAAATCAACGTTCATATATTAACACTGTTTTATGATCCTATCTAATAGAACAAACCTGACACCTGAGGCTAATTGAATTTTGTAAGTCATCGAGAACTATCCAACACATAGTTACATCAGCAATAGTAAGAATGTACAGTTCAATCAACAACAAAAAAACATTTTCAATCTTAAGATATGTTTTATATATATATATATACTATTGTGGTGTGTGCTACTTATAAAGACATAAATAATATATAACGCGGGTCAGAAATAAAATGTGTGGCAGCAGAACATTGAAAAGATCAAGAAGAGAAGAACGGCAACAGAAAGCAATTGTTATGGAAATGCAAGAACAATGAAGTCTGAAACAATTAATGAACGTCTTGCAAATTAATTGTTAGAGTATGGTTTTTTTCTATTTTACTTAGTAACCACAATATGTCAATGGTGGAAATAATGAAGAATCACAGTACGTTCTAAACAACCTATAAATGAGATTTTTTTAAAAAGAATTGATTGCATAGATACCACTTCCATTTATTTTGAACTACTTCTGATTAAGATCTTAATAAGTAGGGATGTCGGGGTAATCGAGAAAACTTCTCGTAAAAGACAAGAAAGGTTCAGGAAAACACTAAGAAACATTTTATCCAATCAGCGTTCACCAGAAGTTTAACCAGAAACATCTAGAAAGTGAAACGTCACATATAGAGTTTCTGATTGGTTGATTATTGTGCTGCTACTATGCTTAGTAACACTCCAGAATCTTCGGGAAACCCAAGGACATCTAAAATACTATAAATATCTTATATTTTCTGTACTAAAACGAACCTTTGGAATAAAGTGCTTCTCGCATATTTTGCGTCTTTTCTCCCATGTTCAAGTCACTGTGTAGTTCTAGCTTTAGGGTTACGAGAATAGCTTAAGAACCGAATATAGAGTTTATCAAGGGAAAAATAAATCAAACATACATTATAATCAACGATTTTTCAACTTACCAGAACGATTTAAATCAATTAAACTACAATCCCGTTGTATATTATGTAAACTTTTACCAGTATCTTGTTCAATTTGTATACATTTAATACGAGCATGTGAACGATAATAATATTGATTATTATTATTATTATTATTACTATATATTATTTCTGTATATATTGGATCAAGTTGTTCCATGATTGAATTATCTCGTAACCAAATATAATCTAAATAACCATTTATAGATATTGGTTTATAATATTGGGTAATTTGATAACCAGCTGGTAAATCTGTATAAAAATAATGCTTACGATCAAAATTTGTAATTGAATTGATATTACAATTTAATCCAATTGATGCAATGATAGCTAGTTCAAGACAATGACGATTTAAAATCTATTGAATAATAATGTAATCCAATAAAATTAAAAGAAATTATTGTTTATTTCAATAAATTTATGATATAAAGTTATTGAATCATTATAATACGTTAATATAAATATCAGAAGGGGTTTTTGTGAATATTATAATAATTTCAATAGTTCAGATCATGAGTTAATTGAAGCTAGACCACCATGAAAAACCTGGAAGCACTGGATGACCGTTTCGTCTTATTGTAGGACTCCTCAGCAGTGTGCATCTATGATGACATAACTATTTGATTAATACCAGATTTCTACAATGATGTTATAAATAAGAATAACAATATCTCAATCATCAGTTAATCAAATTGTTGAAGATGTCAGATCCTTAGAATTCACTTGATAAATACCTTATTATTGTAGTTTTATTTTAAAAATTTGAATTTCTTGTTTTTGCGCTAAAAGTGCTAATTTTCAGCTTTATGTCGTATAACCCACTTGTGAGAAACTTAAACGCTCTTGGTTCGTTATATGTTTTAGTATGCTATTTTGTAACCCTTTCCAAAGACAAGTTTATGGTGTATAAATATATACGTTTGATTTGTGCCTGTTGTTATTACTTATGCTTCTGGCTGCTTACAGAATATATTTCCATGTTTCGAACTTGCAATTTAATCTCTAGTTAACGGGCCTAGAACACATCAGAATAGCCTGATTAATGGTCTTTATTCACAGAGTCTTTGTTCCGTTCCCAAACTAGATGAACTTGTAATCGCTTCAAACATAGTGAATATATTATCAAAATATTCTTAAACGATATAGTTTTCGATGACACATGGAATCGAACATAGAATATACAGATCATAAAGTCAGTATGATGTTTTGAAATTATTTCATTAGTATTTTAGAGACAATGTTTCCAATTACAATCGAATATTATTGCTCATGTAATATTATCACCAGTGAGTGAGTAGCTATTCTCCTACTGACTTGATTGATTTCACACATAAAAAATCCCATCGCCTTTCTCAATGATTATTTAATAAAAATCACATCGTGATTAAAACTTTGCCTCTGAAATGGGCATCTCATGTGGTAGATGGCATTCACTAAACACTAAATGAGTATAAAAATCTACATAAGTAAATGTTTTATGTACACAAATAAGTCGCAGCTGGACATTCTCTTCATGTACCAACATTTATCATATGGACATAAGATTCTTGAATGCCCCATTAAGACCGAGGGTGACGAGATATCGCTCTCCCTGTGACATGACCACGTGTATATGGCTACTGACAGGGAAGTCGAACTCACTGCGTTGTCGAGGAGGGTGTGTTGTTTAAGAAATTGAGAGGACGAAAAGTGAATGTGTGGCACTTTAACCGAGTTAGTGGATACGAAACATCCACCTAGGGAGTTGCGAAAGCGTGATTCCAAACCAACAATGCACAAGGGCTCAATAATCCTGTGAAATAACAAATGGCATATGAACCTATTGTTGGTCACCAACTACCATGAAACCGCATCTCCCAAGGTTGTTCCACTGCCACAAGAATTATACTTCTTGGTCAAAAGGCTCAGAGTGAGAGTGATGTCCCAAGAAAACCACCTGTTTCGGTTTTGACAGCCAGACAGTATCCAAGTTCATACACCAATTGAACGACAATTACTCTGTGTGGCACATATATATTTTGGTACCCTTTTGCACCAATGTTTATGTTTTCAAATAAAGAAATAAGGAATTTTTAATAGTTGTGATCATGAGTCAATTGAAGCCAGACCAAAATGGTAAACCCGGATTCATTGGATGACTGTTTCGTCCTATTTTGGGGCTCCTCAGTAGTGTACATTCACGACCTCATCTCGCGAGATTCGAAACCAGGACCTAGCAGTCTCGCGCGCAAGCGCTTAACCACTAGACCATTGGATCGGCCGGCACCCAACGATGTTAATGTCTAACTTCAACTACTCCACGAAATTGAGCGACACATTCACCGGTAGATCCTGGGTTCGAATCTGGCAAGGCGGGATCATAGATGTGCACTTCTGAGGAGTCCCATACTGGGACAAAACGGATATCCAGCTCTTACAGGTTTTCCATGATGGTCTAGATTCAATTGATCCCAACTATTAAATTTACTCTAATATCCAGAAGAAACCCTTCTGAAATAAAGAAATATAAACGTAGGAAGTTACTAGTAATATACTCCTTTCATAATTTCATATTTGTAAATATAAATTGGTATAACAACAACAAAAACAACAAGAAGTAAATGTTAAATATTAACAATTTATACGTCAAACGTTTCCTGTGATATTTTTAAAGCCAGAACTATTAAATACACTTACAATATACTTTAATACTTAATAAGTTGAATAGTTTCACTTACCGGCATACTACCAGGAATTGCAACATCATGTAAACCTAATTGTGTATTAGGAGGACCTCCAAAACTATATGGTACATATGTAAACAATTTATTATGTACAGATAATTGTGCATGAATTTCTAATCCAATTAATGGTACATAATTTGTTATTCTTGTTGTTTGAGTTGAATAGAATATACGATAATATTGTGGAATAATTTGATTTATACAAAATAGATATTTATATTGTGAAACAATTTTCATATTTTGTATTATAGACAATACTAGACAAGGAACAAACAATAAAAAACAAAAAAAAATTATAGATGATATATCTTGTTGTTTGAATGCTACTTTTTATATCTGGTCGCTGTTGATTGTTGTGTCAAAAACGTTTATCACTTATACTTGAAACGAGGGAATCTACCTTATTACTTACTTATACCTGTTACTCCCAATGAAGAATGGGCCGATGACCAGCATACTTCAACCCACTCCGTCCTGGGTCTTCCTTTCCAGTTCTGTTCAGTTTTTGTTTGTTTCTCATGTCTGTCTTCATTTCTTGGCGTAATCTACGTTATTATCAGTAATAATTACAAGTCAACTGATACACAGATATACTCAATACTAAAAGAATTTTTTTCTTTTGAATAAAAGGACTAATACAATATTGTAATCCCACATTAAGTTAATGTTTAAGTCAAAATTCCTTGTTACTAAAGTCTATGATCTCAACATCAAACAGAAAGGATTATGATTATTGATGCGAAATATTTCTCTAAGGCTTCTGAAATATTTTGATTGAGATCATGAACCGATTGATGTTAGACCACCGTTGGAAACCTGGAAGCACTAGACGACCGTTTCGTTTTATTGTGGAACTCCTCAGCAGTGCAAATCCACGATCCCGCTCTCGGGACTCGAACCTAGGGCCTCTAGTCTCGCGCGCGAATGCTTAACCTACTGAACTACTGAGTCGGCATCCAATCGCGTTAATGTCTAACATCAACCAATCCATGAAATTGCGCGACCATCTTCCATTGTAGTGAGGTAGATACCTGTTTCAACCCGACACGGATTAGCTCCACCGGTCACGGCTTCTCACTAAAACTCCGAGAATTCTAAAATACGTTATTTCATATTAAGTAAAAAATTCTTTTGAAGGTAAAGTAATATATCTAAAAGCTTTAAATAACATTAAATTGTTCCATACAACAATTCCTGATTGATTACAGAAAAAATGAAGGAAAAAATCGAAATAGATATATTAGTGTAGTACACGTGAATTACACAGGGCATTCGAAAAATTATGAAAATCATATATTAAATACATCATTTGCATATGTTCCTTCTGTTGTCCTTCACAAACTCCATTATTCCGTTGTCATTTCTATTGTTATCTGATTTCCTTCTAGTTCTCTTCACTTCAATTTTCTGCTGGCAAGCATTTCACTATTGATTACCGATACACACTACTTATATCTGTCAATATAAGTAGCATACACCAAAGTGGTAGTCAAACAATTCGGTCAAAATTTAGTTATGAATAGCATAGACATAGATATTTAAGAGATAAATCCTTTCCTGGTAAAATACATTTTATTTAAACAAAAATAATTTAAGATATATCAATGTAAAAAGCCCAGTAACGAAATAAAACTAATTATCCAAGTTACAGTTGATTAATTGAAACAAAGTTTTAATGGAATTTTGTTCTCTGAACTAGATGGTTTGATCGTGGAGATTTCATCGTTCTCCTGAAAGACATCATCAGCACAAACGTCAGGTAGAAACAATGTGCAAGCTTGATACAAAATCATGAAATCCAATCGAAATTGTATACACTCAAATGGCATAATTTGGAAGAAAACAAAAGAACAAATAACAGTGCAATAATGTAGAAAGTTCATAAAATGTGGTCATAATCTTATTTCTTTATTTAAACACATAAACATTGGTGCACAGCACCAAATACACATGGACGACATAAATCATTCGATTTATGTGAGGGCTGGGATGTTGTTTGGGTGCCCAGACCAAAGCAGGTGGTTTTCTTAGGGAGCCACACCTCGAGCCTTTGACCTAAAGGTCTAGTTTACAATGCAGTGGAGCAACGTTAGACAATGTAGTCCCATGGTGGCCGGTGACCAATAATTGGTTCATACGCCATTTGTTCCCTCAGGATTCTGGAGTCCATATGCACCATTGGTATGGAATCAGTGTTTTCCAACTCCCCTAGATGGACTCTCCGTGTCCACCGACCCGGTTAAAGCGCCGAACATTCGCTCTTCGTCCTCTCGGTTTCGTAAACAACATCCGTGGTGCGAGAAGGCAGTGAATAGGACTTCTCTGTCAGTGGCTGTATACGTGTGGCCATGTGAGAGCATTTGGAGAGGGAGAGATGACTCTCCCCACCCTCAGCTGTACCAGGGTTATGTAAAATAATACTCATACTTTATTAGCAGGATATAACAAACACATCAAGTTAAAATCTGAATATGCTGACTGGTTCATTTTTAACCACTAAGAGCTGGTGGATGGATAAACATGGTGGAATTCCCTCGTAAAACTTCCATACCAAATATTTCGTATTGATTACTGTACATTGTTATCGCGGTTTTTTGAAATATATCTTGTTCTGATTTGTCTCAAGAGTGAAATGTCACAGTAAAAGAATACCAAACAAGACAGAAACATGAGCACGTATTACTAAAGCGAGGTTAGTGAAGATATATCCATGCGAGACGTTGCCAGAACACTAGAAACCCTACATTGTACATTTTCAGAACCTAATCATGTTTCGATGATTCAATGATGTATTTTGATTTGTCCATGGATTGAGTTCACTGCTTATTATCTTGCTTTGAATAACTTGACACAAATGGGATATGACAACTGAAGGTAAATAACATAAAAATGTTAAACGTACTTATTTGCAAGTGTCTTTCATAATCTACTTCCTAGAGGTACTTCACGATTCAATATTTTTCATTCGCTTCATTCCTATTGGTTACACCAACAAGATATTCAGGTGCATTTTCAGCTACTTATCCCCAGTTATGGTAAATAATTTATTTGCCCCGCACTTTCGCTAACAGCGGAAGAATCTAGATGTTGTATTCTAGAGAAGCGAATCCACGTGAGTAAAATGTTTAACACAGATGCCGCCCGAGAAAAGTAGCAAATAGAAACCAATAAACAGTATTCTATGAAATACGAAACATAACTTTCATTGTAAAGCTCGATCACCTAACATTCCATGGGACCTGTATATGACACACCGAAATATAGCGAGATGAAGAAATAACATTTGATTACTGCTGGTAAAATCCAACGTAATAAATTCGCAATATTCAAACACCAGAAAATCTCACTAATTAAAAAGGACAAGATAAATAACCCAGCTAAATTTACTTCTGTGTACACACATTTATGCCACGTTACGAGCTATGATGTTAAAAATAAAAGTACGACTTATATGTGTAACATAAAATTAGTAAGGTGAGGTTAAAACCTGTCACACATCTGTTAGAAACCAATCATATTGATCAGTGAGTCCCCGATGGTGACAGTATTTACATATACGCTATACAACAAATTAAACACCCAAATCAAATTAAATCCAACTTAACAGCCGAAACCTTAGAATATAATAATAATATTATAAGCAAAGATGGATAGTGGCTAGCAGTGAAATCCAGGACCCAGTAGCTAAGTGGGTAACACGATGGCGTTTGAAGCGAACGGTACTGGTTTCGAGTCCCAGAGTGAACATCAAGTCCAAGATGCGAGTACATCCATCTGACGAGTCCCAGATAAGACAAAACGCGCGTCCTGGATTTCACTGCTAGCCACTATCCATCTTTGCTTACAATGCTTGTAAATGTATGCAATATCGAAGCAATATGCACACTATGTACATATGCCAATAAGAGACTGATCAATTGCAGTCCTAAACATCAATGGGAAGATTCAAGTAAAACAATATCAAGTGAATTAATAATATTGCCCAACAGTGAAATCAAGAAAGCACATTCCATCTTATTTGTTACAAGTCAGCTGAATGCTTATGTGTTTGTTAATTTTTGTACTAAAACCCAATACTCATAGATTTAAACACAAAAGTGTGGAAAATTGGACTACCATGTTATGACAGCATTCATTGAGTTACAATGGGTATGATAAGAAGGTACACCCAACAAAGGTGTATCAAATGAAGAGGGAATGTGCTTTCTGGATTCAATGAGACACCCGCTATAAACAAAAACAAAAAACAGATAAATTTGAGGAACATAGAAATGTAGACTCAATGTTTTCAGACGCTGATATGAACTAACCAATTTCAACTATGGGTATTAACAAGAAAATCTAACCATTTGTAACAAATTAAACTTCAGACATTTCGAAGTCATTTCATCCAAATAATGATTAGGACAAATATGTTACTAAATAGACTAGAAATGTAAAGATGAGAGTGTGAATCATTGCTGAGTCATCAATTAGTTGTATTAGAGATGGGTAAATGGAAAACATGAAAGTATTTAGGATAGCTTCTTGCTAAGAAATCTGAGATGAGATCTAAATTTATTTTATAGTCCTTAACCTTATGACCTAAGAATAACTCCCGAGAACTGCGGACAACCACTAAAATGAAGAAAAGATAGCTTAGTTGATGTAAGTTTAAATCATTAATATGTAACGAAAAATGGTAACTTTAAAAAAACAAGTATGAGGACAGTTTTCATCACAAATCGAAGAGCCACATATTAAGGAATGTATACAGTGCTGAAATGTCATTATCCTATGAAACCACTGCCTCCTATGAACTGGGTTTAAGTTCATCGCTTATTTTCCTTGATGTGATATTGATAGATGAGTTAAAACATTACGTGAGATTATGCAGAATTTACCCCGGTAGGGTAGTTCTATTTATTATTTATCTTGCAATAAGATATTAAAAATTATCATTCGTTCTTACCTCTAATCTCGTGTACTATTGTTAAAAACATTGCCCATTCTCAATTGATATGTTCCACTTGATTATGAATAGTATGCTACTTCACCAAGTTAAAACTATTTAAGTATATCAGTTTTTCATATAATATTTAAACTTAATGATAATGGCCCCCAAAAGCCCTGGTGCGGCCGAAATGCTCTCACATGGCCACGCGTATATAGCCTCTGCCAGGGAAGTCCTACTCACTGCCTTCTCGCACCACGGGTGTTGTTTACGAAAATGAGAGGACGAAAAGCGAATGTCCGGCGCTTTAACCGGATCCCAAACCAATGGTGCACATGGGCTGGCTCCAGGATCCTGAAGGAACAAATGGCGTATGAACCAATTATTGGTCACCGGCTACCATGGGACTGCATCTCCTTACGATGCTCCACTGCCTTGTGGGTCAGACGTTCACGTCGAAGGCTCGGGGTGTGGTCCCCTAAGCAAACCACCTGCTTCGGTTTGGGCACCCGGGCAGTATCACAGCCCTCACACATATCACATGAGATTTATGTGGCGCATATGTATTTGGTGCCTCTTTGTACCAATATCTATGTGTTAAAATAAAATAAAATAAGTGATAATGGCACAGACTGCGGCAAAGAAGAAAGTGTCACAGCAAGTAGAACAACCGCAAGAGCAACCGTTCAAAGAGGGGATGAGTGTGGTGTATGCTATTTGTGTAGACAGGTATTACTTGGAAGTGGAATGCCTGCTAGCAGAAAATTGAGAAGATTGAAATAAACAGAAGAGAACTGAGAGTGATCAAAGTAACAACAGAAATAAAGGAACGATAAAGTTTGTAGGAGATAACTGGTGGAGGA